ATATTGGGGTATGGTATCTCATAAAACACTTTCCAAGCAGAATCAATAGATTTACATACCACGTAAGCATGCACAAGGGAGTTTTGCACAAACAATTGGGATCGAAATCCAAGTTTCAAGATCAATCCATGAAGCTCCTGTGTTTCCGTAAATGCTGATTCAAATGCACATGACTTGAGAACAAATGGAAAAGTGAAATCATTAGGTAAAATACCAGAACTAAGCATTTGATGTTGCAAGAAGAGTCCCTCTCTCGGATTATCACTGTTAGAATACCCCCTGATTAAGCTGTTCCACATGTATCTGTTTGGCTTGGTTACACGATCAAACACTGCACGGGCATAACTAAGATCGCCAGCATCAACGACCAATGAACAAAATGCAATAAATTTCCCTATAATAAAAGTTTCCCCAGTTAATCCATGGATTAGGATCTGCACATGAACACGCTTGAGCACTTCCACGGAAGAGCATTTTTCTACTAAATAATAGATGGGTGCATAGAACATCTTCCTACAATATAAATGGAAGGAGTTGCATCAAGTTAACGAAGGAGTTGTATAAAGTTAACGAAAGAGTTGTATCAAGTTCAAGGAGTTGAATAAAACTTTAAAAAAGGATATTAAAAAAAAACTGCAATAGGCAATAGTGTGTTTGTGTGAGACTTAGGGGCAGACACCCATAGAAAAAGAATGTCTAATGTCTAGAGAATCATTATCTCACAGCAATATTACTCAGGCCAATATAACTAATGAAAATTTTAGACTTCACCATAGTTATGTAGCCACTTCAAATTATCCACCATATTTAGTCTTTACACTTTACAGTAAGAAAATTAAAGAAATTACCTTAAAGAAATGAACTCAATTGAAAATTAACCTTATAATAATAAAATAATGCAATGAGGCAAAAAGGGATGTACCGTTTATGAAGATAGTGAGGGAGGAAAAGTAATGTACATGATGATTCACCAAACATCCCCACATGAACAAATTCCATCTTTGAAATGGTGAAATCTCAAGGAGTCCCTAACAGTTATCTGCATCAAGGTAGCCTTGGCCATGAATTTGATCCAATTGTGGCAATCCCCACATATTCTCAAATTTTTAAATACCCGAATCGATGGTTTCCCATTTGAGTTAAGTATACCGAAAGCAACGGCTAATTTCTCACTGTGGTCACATAAAACCTCTTCCTTCTCCTCATCGTCAATATCTTGCAAAACAAAGTCGGTCTTAGGCAAATAACCTTGTAATCTCATTTTCTTCCTCGTCTCTTTAAGAAAGGCATATATTTTCTCACATTGAGGAATCCTTCTATCACCTTTTACAAAAGTATAAACTTGTTTTCCAATGGGAATCCAACTACAACCGGGTTCTTTTACAATTCCTCCATCTCTCATCATTTTTCTGACTTCCGAAGCATCATTCCATAGCTTTGCAGTGACTAATATATTTGATAGCAAAACGTAGTTCCCAGGATTGTTTGGTTCAATTTCAAATAGTTTATAGGCAGAAATTTTTCCCAACTCAACATTCTTATATACTCTGCAGCCAGCGAGCAGGGAACCCCAAGCACTAGGAGATGGATCTATTGGCATTTTCTTAATAAAATCATAGGCATCGTATAAATGGCCAGCACGACAAAGTACATCAACCATACAAGAGTAATGATCCACATCGGGCTCAATCCCATGATCTCTTTTGATCGAAATAAAAATAGCCCGACCTTCATCAACAAGCTGTGAATGGCTGCATCCGGAGAGAATAGCTGTAAACGTGACAGCGTTAGGTTTATAGCCAAAATTTATCATGACTTGGAAGAGTAACAAAGCTTCTTGACCACATCCATGCATTGCATTTGCTAGAATCATAGTATTCCAAGAAACAATATCCTTTCTAGGAATCATGTTGAAGATTTTGCGTGATAGATCCAATTCCCCACATTTTGCATACATGAGAACCAAGGCAGTTGCAATGAAAACATCTCTGTTAAGTGAATGTCTGAAACAATAAGCATGGATCTCGCGACCTCCACTTAAGTTTTCCAAATCAGTGCAAGCTGGCAAGATACTAGCTATAGTCATATTGTTGGCTTTGAATCCTGAACACTGCATCTGCAAAAGAAACCTCAATGCTAGTTGTGATTTTCCATTTTGTGCACATCCACCGATCATAGAATTCCATGTGGCAGAATCCAAATCGGCTCCTTCTAATTTCATGGTTTCAAAAAGATCAAGAGCTTCTTCCTGGTGTCCATTTGAAAAAAGGGCAGCCAAAATCACATTCCAGGATATGGTATCTTTTCGAGGTAGTTTATGAAAGACATTCCTTGCATACATTATGCTCAAACATTTTGCATAAGTATCAACCAATGCGCTACTTACAAATAAATTATCCACCAATCCATTTCGAATGGCATAGCCATGTATGACCTTTCCAGTGTTCAAGGCTTTCAAATATGAACAAGCAGGAAGTAGTGAAGACAATGTTACAGAGTTGGGTCGTAATCCATACAATGTCATTTCACGAAACAATTGCAATGCTTTATGTGATAGGCCGGAATTCACATGTGCCGCAATAACCGAAGTCCAAGATATGACATCTTTTAAAACAAGACTATCAAATACAGTCATAGCACCTTGAGGAAAACCACATTTTCCGTACATGTGAATCAATGCATTTGCTAGTATAATGTCCGAGTGAATATCATGCTTAACAGCATCAGCATGAACTTGTTTTGCTTTGTTGAGATCTGAGACGATGCCACATGCCTTTGCAACAGTTAATAGAACATACTTATCTGGATTGAGATCCCCAGCTTTGATGAACTCGTTGTAGAGTTTGATTGATTCTTTGGGAAGTCCTTTTGAAGTATACCCAGTAATCAAAGCGGTCCATATCCGGATATTTGGGTGGGGAATTGTATCAAACAGTTTGTGTGCACGTAACAACTGACCAGATTCTATGTAATTTTTTAACAATTTGAGTTGAGAATGCACGGTTGAGCATACAGGAAGAACAGAATTCATTTATTTAAGTGAATTTTCTTACTTGATCACATACTCGCCCACTCACTCTTCTACCAAATAAATAACAATAAAATTTTATATTCGCCAACAATGTATTAACCTAAACAGAGAAATGCAAAAAAAAGAACCCTACCAAAATTGATAGACAAAACGAAGAGCAATGAGAAAAGAAGCAAACCCTCACTAGATTGGAAATAGAAGAGTAACAAAAAAGGTGACAATCGACGAATATAAAATCGAGAATGGGAAAAACTGCAGGTGGCATTACCAGATTGTCAGATACGCTTCAAATCTTTGTTGTGGTCTGGTGGAGAGCGGAGCACCTCACCTCCGATTTGGGGAAGGAGTCTTGTGTAGGGTTTATCTAGGGTTATTGATTTGAAATTAGTTTCCGTCTTTTGTAATTATTAAAAGAACAGGGATTAATGGGAAATAGTTCTTTTCTGCGTAAATTATGACGTGGCAAAAAAGAAAGGGGAAGGGGTAGATACTGACGGACGGCGGACGCAACACAATTCGCAATGGGGTAAATAATTTTCTCAGAATGAAAGAGAGAGGTTTGATTCCGATCGTCGCCGGCGAGATATTGAAGACGAAGAAGGTTGTGTTACTTTGGCTGATTGGATTCAAAGAGGCGTGCTGTTTCCATAGAGCCTTTATATTCTGCAGGAGGTTTCTCTTTTAAATGAAAGTTGAATTTAAACGAATTTTAATTTCATTCTTCTTCTATCACTAGTCGCCCTAATTTTAGTTGTTTCTTCCGTTACAGATCACGACTTCTGTTGATCAGAACGGGGCAATGTTTTTTGCTGAACGGGTTGATTTTCCTTGGAAGGTGACATAATGACATTCTTCCCCAAATCTCATAGGTTTTACGAAATTTTGGAAGTTTCAAATACTGCAATTAGGGTTTTTATCTCCTTCCTTTCTCACCAATACCCACGTTTTATTTTACCAGTATTCTTAGTGTGTGAGTCCTGGACCTCTGGTCATTTTATGTAATTTAGGGTTTAATTTTATCACACCTCAATCCAATAACTGATTTTTTTCTTACTGTGAAGATCGAGGTGGTTCACAATCACACGTACTGAAATTTGCCTTTTTTTCCTCTTCTTTTATTTCTATTTTGCAGTTTATTTTTTTTGAATTCTCTTGTCATCCCTAGCCTGATGTGGATATTGCCCGATCATTGTAACCAAGTTGGTTCGCAGGAGTTTTGTGATCAAGCCACAAGTCTACAACTCTATTCCTCCTTGCGAAATCTACTTGTTCAATTTTTCTATGTATGCATGCTTCATCTTATTACATAATTTAACTATATAATAAACTACCATGAAGAATTCTTGTATGTAATTTTTCAATGATGCTGTAGATATTTTGGTTCTATCCACTTTATGTCTTCAGCTTCATATTGAGCAGCATGTGGTAAGATTTCTTCACATGGATTTTTAAAATGAAATACTGAACTGCATATTTTTCATGTAAATGTATGGTTTCTTATTTCAATTAGGTACACTGATATTGCTAAAAATGCTTTTGCTGCCTCTATGGAAAATCATTCGTCTCGAAAATTAGAATTACGTGATAAAAATGAGTCAACAGATTCTCAAGATATTAGCCGTTTGGAAAGACCAGCTGGCCTGGAGGGGTAAGTAAATTCATTCATTGTGTTGTTTTCTATAAAATATATATAATCAATTTTAATCACACCTGTATTACAAATGGACATCAAACTCTTCATGCTTTTGCATTTATTTTTCTAAAGGATCATACTTGGAATCGGGGAGCAGATCTATTCACTTCTTTTGTTATTTTTCTTCTTCATCCAGGTATAGTGATCCATCTCTGCTTCATTTCTAAATCGAGTTATTTTGAAACTTCGATCTATGTATCATACAAGAAAACTTTCACTACTTACACCATGCGTGGACAATTTTCAAATCAAATCATTATTTTATATTAAAAAAATTATGGCTGCTGGGATTCGAGCCCCGGTTCTCTACGGCTACAAAATCGAATTCTTACCACTAAACTACAGCCACTGAGTGAAAAATATAACCTAATGATCATATAAAATCACAAAGTACAAAATGCTACAGGTTTTTGCAACAGGATACATACCCTGGATTGGCCAAACTATGAATTTTTTCCTACTATCCTGGATGTACTCATATTACTGTTTTGAGTAAGTATCAATGGAATCATTAGAAGAATTAGCATTGAATTCTCACTGATATTTTTAATATTTTTAGGTACAAATGGAATTATTCAGAATTGAGTCTGGACAAAAGAATAAAATTCTTTGAATCAAATTGGCCATTTTTTGCAGGATTTGGTAAATGTAGTATTTGTGATAATTTTTAACTATTTTTTCTATCATTGAATTAATTTACTTTTCATTCCATACTTCAGGAAGCCCTTGTGTTCTTGCCATATTATTTTTTCCTCCACTAGTGAGTTATGGAGTTATGTCTATCTTATATCCACTGGTAAGGTTGAATCGAATGACACCCATCCATCATTTTGATATACACTATTTCATATTTCCATAAACTATAACATTCACTAATATGAGATACACTACTTCAGTTTGTCCTAACAGCGATGGGCACACATGCCGAAGACGTTATAACTCTGCAAAGAAGATCTTGGAGTGATTTAGAACTTGTGAAGCTTCCAATATTCTACATTGCAGATATTTTATCGTGAGTGATAAATTGATAATTATTATTTTAAAATTAATATTTCCTCTCCCGGAATCAAATACTCTTGATCAGCTGTTATTCCTTGTTTGATTTTTGCTGCAGGATGAAAGTGTTGCAATTGCTACCTAAAGAACTTGGCAAAAATCAGTGAATCCATAATTTCTTGGAAACAGAAACATGTTCATTCACAATGTAAATAAAGAGGAGAAAATTTAATTTAGTTTTCCTTCTTCTTTAGATTCCTTACTGTAGTAGAACAACAGATTCTCCAAAAGGACGGATGTGTAATACAATTTATGTGACTTTGGTCAGTTAAGTTTCAGTTCAAACTTCAAAGTGATGGAACTGGAAGTAGAGCTTGAGTTCAAAGTGTCCTTAGTTTTAACGGCACATATTTTCAAAGTGTGTTTCTTTCACATTTGAAACAACCCAATAATAGAAATTATAGCTGTAGTCCTTTACCTATTGTGAAGAGACTATATATAGAAAATAAGAAATCAAGTGGTGAATGGTCGGTCGGATCGAACAAGAAAACAAGAAAGGGAACAATAGGATAACAATAATGGCCGGCATTGCACAGTTACATCAGTGTTTTTGACTTTTTGACGTCATGACTCATAATGATAAAGACATTGCTTAGATTTTAATTCACAGACTACAGATGGAGTGACCGACTAACAAATAATGAGATGATTCGTCCGGCGTTCATCGATTCTACCGGTTACTGTAGAGAAGAAAAGATAAACCCATACACTCACCGCTCACCGTACCGGCAGTGATTAATCATGTACGTACAACATAATAATTAAGCACACTACAGTGATGATGATCCATGCATCGATCACTGTCGACGGTGAAGGTGGTCGTAGCCACGGTTGGATCGGCGATTGTGGATTACGCACACTTTGGAATCAGCCACCGCGACGGAGTTTTTCTTGCACAAATACTCGTTAAAAATGTCCATTAATTTCCGTCTTCTTCTCATTCCCGTGATCAGCATTAATGACGATGACTCCATCTTCCTCGCCGTCTCTTCTAGTTCTACATCTCCTCCCGCCTTGGAAAACTCCATCAATGCCATGGTGAACGGATCAGGCTGGTGTTTCCTTAGGAAAGACGAGTGGTGGCTGTTGTTGGTGGGTTTGAGAGGAGGAGGGAGAGGAAGAAGAATTTGAGCAGTGCCGTCGATTATAGGTGGGTTTTTTAGATGGTGATTGTCATCGACGATAGGTTTGGGAATACCGGGTTTTGATTCCCATGAGAATGGGATGGAAGATGAATAAGACATCATTTGGGTCTGTGTGGATGGAGCTTTGATTCTTAAGAATGAACCTAGGCGACAAGGAATAGTACTCGACGGTGAAAATGTCGATGAAGAAGAATACATATTTTTCAAATTCCAAATGAGAATTTGATTAAGATGATCAGGAATTGAGAAATATATATCCAAAGAATGTTGCTTTTTTTTTACCATTTTTCTGTTCCCTAATATAACGAAAGACAGATATTATTATTTTATGTGATTACTACCCTACAAGATATATCTATTCCACATCCTATCGTACTTTTAGTTGTTATTTAATTATTCTCTTATTGTAGTTTTGTAATCTTTTTATTTTATTTTTATCTAAATCGTTTTTTTATTTTATTTATTTTATGTGATTTAAGGGTAAATAAATCATTTACCCAAACGATGACAAATTAGTAGTTGGTAGTTAAGATTTTGATTTAATGTTGATGGTAGGTTTTATATTTTTATTGGTATTGTCATTTTCTTGAATTTAAACCTTAATCAAATAATTAATTAGGATTGGTCGGTGGAACCTCATGTCGTCCACCTGCTTTCTCCTTAAAGTGCACAGAATGGCCGAAGGTAAGTAAATCAAACCGGAAAACGGGAGGGACGGACAGACGACGAACAATTGAGGAAGGGAGGGAACAGTCGGATTTGACCATCCGTAGTTTGGTGGAAACACGGTTCTTATACTATAATATAGTACTCTAAAAACACATGAAAGTTGGGCATGGGTCGGGTCGATATTTTCGACCATGAAGCCTGACATGAACGACCCGAATTCGAGTATTTTTTACCCGGGTTTTTTCGAGTTAGGTTAAGATAAGATCTGAACCAAACTCGATTCACCCAAAACTCAAAAGAAATTTATAAAAAATCCTTAAAATATAAATAATTAATAAAATTTTATGTAAAACATTTAAAAAAAATTAAATATGAGTATTTAATAATTTCCTCTTTTTTAAACACTAATTTCATTTTTTTTAAAATTTAAATTTAAATTCTAATTTCATTTCAATATAACATTTCGAAGGACTAGATGAGGTAAGATATCCATGATGTCTAATTGGGCGAGCGGGTAAGACGAGAGGATCAAGATAATACTGATTGCATTTTGTACGAAGGGTCATGGGAATTGCAAGACCATGTCCGTTGCAAATTTTCTATAGATCTATGACAATATTTATTGAATGTAAAATCAGGTATAATAACAGATACAGATCTCTCCTTAGAACATGTAATGACAGAGACTGGTAGCATAACAAAGAACACATCATGTTGGGTTCTAACTTGGGTTTACACGGCAGTGTCAGTTTAGGGTATTTGAACCGAGAGAAACAAAAGAGTTCGTGAAGATAGGCATAAGAAGAAAGATAGTGAAGGACATCACAAAGGCATTCACACCGACTAGGTATAACTGTATAAAGCGAGAGGAACACAACAAGATCAAAGACTAATTAAAGCATGGGCTAGAAGGGCCGCCAACCAACATCGACTTAAAAATTTTCATTATCTTGTATTAGTAGAAAATTTAATACTTAGGCTAATAGTGGATCAGAGAATTCAATTAAAAATAGAATTCTAATCCATTAAAAACATAATAAGATGGACTTGAAACAATAGAATGACCTTACACGCCATATCCATAACAAACTCAACCTCATATGAGTTTGAGTTTCTTATAAAAGTAGAAAACGATATGACGAATCAATTACAAAAGTAGTGGATCGAAAGGTGATAACAGAGTTTTTCCTAAAAAAAACAAAAGATACCAAGAGTACATCAGGGTTTTTTCACCCAACAATTGTCCAAGGCCTACGTATTACGTAAAAACAATATAAGCATATTCGTTTTAGGAAACAAGTGTCAGTCCCTAATGGTCATTAACCGACAATATCTTATATAATATATCAAAATCACAAAACTCATAATAATTTATTGTATAAAATTATTTCCAAATTCCTAATAATTATAAATGTTTACCTTTACCTTTTTTTATTACCCTATTTATTTATTTATTTATCAATTTATATCATAAGCCCTTGCTGCTTGCGGCCTCGTCTTTGTCACGCATAATCATCCTTTCACCTACCCAAAGTCTGAAAGCTTCTATTCTTCACCTAAACACCACTCAGTCCTCACTCTCTTTCACACTAAGCGGCGACTGCTGCTCTAATGGCGGAGGAGACACAACTGACGTTGGAAAAAACAGCCACACCAGTTCCCGACACTGAGAAGGAAACAGCGGCGGAGGAGACCAACGTCAATGTGGCTGCTTCTGATGTCTCCGCCGAAGATACGGCCGACGGTAAAGTTGATGGATTGATTCCGGATAACGTGTCATTCAAGGAAGAGAGTAATGATGTGAAAGACCTCATCGATCCGGAGAAGAAGGCTCTTGATCAACTCAAGGAGCTTATTGTTGCCGCTCTCGCTAACAATGAGTTGTCTAAGCCTTCTTTGTCTCCTCCAATGACCCTGGACAAGACGGAGGAAAAAACTACGGAGGAAAAAACCACGGAGGAATTTGTACAACCTCTGAAGGAACTAGACAGAGAAAAAGAGGCTGAGACGGTTGAGCTAGATCCATGTCTGCCGCCAGTGGATGAAAAGGAGGAAGAACCTAACAATGCGACGGTGGAAAAGGAGGAAAAACCCACGGGATCAATCCGGCTTGCAGTTGCACTAGCAGAGGAGATGAAGGAAGAAGAGGACGCCTTAAAAACAGTCCAAGCAGCAGAGGAAGCTGCCTCCTCCGGCGCCACATCAGATCAAGTGGCAGTGGACGCAGAGAAAGAGGTAGTAGAAAAGGCGAAACCTTTACCTTCACGGCCGGAACCGGAACAAGTGTTCATCTGGGGAAACCCTTTAATCGGCGGTGAGAAGAGTGATACGATCCTCCTGAAATTCCTCAGAGCAAGAGACTTCAAGGTCAAAGAAGCACTAACTATGATAAAAAATACCATCATCTGGAGAAAAGAGTTCAACATCGACACCCTTCTGAACGAAGACCTCGCCATTCCTGAATTGGAGAAGGTGGTTT